CACAGCTGATTGCCATCAAAAAAGGGGAGCAGTATGCCAAAACCATCTCATGGATCAGAACCAGAACCTCATTCGCACTCTTGAGATCTGCGTTGGTTTGTCTTCGAGGCTCTAGGACCAGAAGAGTGCCATGTGACATTAAGAATGTTGATATCGACGTCGAAGTTGCTGAAGGAGCCATTAAATCGGACTATTGATGTGTTTCCTTACTTCATATATATCTTTTTATTTCATTATTATTATTACTATTTTCTTTGTTTTTTAGCAGTTGAAAGAAACTTTTGAATTTTAGAGGTTGACAGTTTTTTTTTTATTGAAATGAAATGTTTTTTAATTCGAAAAAATTTTTCTTAGTTTTAATTAACTTATTTTTAAGCTAAATTAAGTGCTTTTTAAATCGACAGAAATTGTAAATAGTGTTTTTGAATGAATAGTTTTTTCTTTTTTTTAAGCGAATTAATTGTAAATAGGATTTTAATAGTTTTTTAATAAAATTGTCTATTATTATTATTATTATTATTATTATTATTATTATTATTATTCGAGGCTGGGTGCTTATTAACTTTTCCTCCATACAGGATGGGCGCTGATTCTGGGTGAGCTAGCTTTCGCAATGACTTCTGGGATCGTTACTGGAGACGTGCAGGTCAGCTGTTGGCCAATTTTTTCCCTATCCCCAGTACGGTCCCAGATTAAGGTCCCAGACGTCTTTACGAAAGTTAACGTGGTCCAGATTCCTTCGCGTTTCTAAGTTGGCGAATGGAGAATAACCAGTTTGAGGACATCATACGGTCGGATGTTAAACACGTGGCTCCTCTGACCCAGGGGAGGGGGTACTCAACATAGTTATATACGGAGAGGCTCCGCCCAAAGGTCTAACCCCTTACCCTCTTATATACCATTTTTAATAGAAAAGGTGCCCCTCTCGTTTACCTTCTACTTTGAGAAATGGTACACCTTTCACATGAACTGTTGTAAATTCACTGTCTTTTAAATATGAATAAATCACAAAACCAGAACGTTTTTTCGACTTTTTCAGAGCTATAAAATGCAACTGTTAGCCCTTTTACGGCTATTTACAGACCAAAATGGCAGTGAAATATTTCCCTATAGAGGATATTACACGGTGGCGAGAAGATATGAATTTTATGTTCTCGTGGCAAGAACAATATCTCACGAGTGAGCGAAGCGAACGAGTGAGATATTGTTCTTGCCACTCGAACATAAAATTCGTATCTTCGAGCCAACGTGTAATGTTTTTTTTATTATATGGAGAAACCAATTCAACAAAAGCAAAATGCGGGAATCGTGACGTCATTGAACGATACGACACTCACAAAGGTGACATACGGAAAATACGCCACTCGGGTCCCGGATGAAGTGGCGTATGGAATCTACGAGTGGTTTAGTTCCCAGTAAAACACTCTCCTCCATATAATTATATATTTTCATATACTTTAGTTAGTAAAATCCCTACCCTTTCACATAACTGAGGCCTGAAAAGGATATCCCTTTTGTGTGACAAAAGGACAGAGCTTTTAGCTATAAAACAGAGCGTTGAAAGCGAAGAATACAATACGAATGTTTAATGAGCATGCACACAAATTGGGGTTAATACTAAAAGCACGTGCGTTATAGTTTTCCCACTCACTGCATTTCAAGCTATTGCAGTTTTTGTTCATTTGAAAAAAAAAAACGAACAAACAAACGATGTTATATTGAAGACGAAATTCGTAAGAACAAAATACCCTCCTCCCTGCTCGAATTAGCGCCACAACGTCAACTCAAAACTGATTCAGAAAAAGCGCGAGAGAACCTACGGTAAGTGCTATTTTACTTTTTCCGGGTGTTTTCGTCTTTCACTTGGTTCAGTAGCTGTTGGTCTCTTCTGATTGAAGTTCGATAATTTCTCCTAGATCAAGTTTCTCGGCAGCCGATTTGGTGGCCTTGGCCATTCTGGTTCCGTATTAGCTGTTTCGTTTTCGTCATTACTAAAACGAGGGTAAGCGAAAGACCTATCCTCCTGTTTCGGTGGTGGTTTCGTTATGTTGTTTCAAAATCACGCACGGGTAAACAAGGGGCCTATGTTTCATGGAGTTTTATTCAGTATTTTATTGTCATGTCTTTTGTCAGTGGCCTAGTTCATGATTACTGATCCAAGAGTAATATCAACTAAACGATAATACCCAAAAATGTTTGCTTGAGGTCAAATCAAGTTTAGTCTGGGTTGATAGGACGGTAACCCGTTGGGTAGGGGTAGGGTAGAAAATTGAAGATCTCACCCTACCCTAGCCGGGGATTAGCCGGGTGAATCTGTTTTCGACGAAGCACTGGGAACAAGCTCATCGAGGATGTGGTTTCGTTGATACAGACGTCTTGTAGTAATCTAGATTTTCTTTCGATTTTAATCATGCCTCTTTTCAAGAAAGGGGGAGCTAACTTTACCGATTCTCGTAAAAGTGATAGCGACAAAAAACATTCAAACAGTCGTTCATCGGGCGTTGTAGCTCAAAATAATTCGCAAATCAGCTCAACTACGCAGCCGTCCGTTCAAGCTGTCCCGCCGCAACAAAAACAATCTTCAAATTTGAATTCCGCTTCTAGAACGCCTCATCAGCCGCAAACCGGGGTAAGACAACAGCCTCTTGAACCCCCAGCACCGCCTCCTAAGTTCGTGTTTTACTGTCAGCTGGCGCATGGAAGCCCGACAGGAAAAGTGGAAGGTTTCACTAACGTGAAAGAGCTTTACCAGAAATTAGCCGAGGTATTCAAGCTTCAAACCAGCAACGAGGTTTGTAGTGCTATAAACCAAAGCATTGTTTTGGGACTTGCATTAAGATGACTGTCTTTGGCAAGATCAGAGTACCACTTTAATACTAATACCGTTTTCTCTCATTATTCATACTATCGATTTACATTAATTATATCTCTTTGTTGCTCGACGTGCTGACTGCTGAATAAATTTAAGGCTTAGGTTACTGGGGATTGTTTTGTTTAGAATCTTTAGATCGACCTCGAAAGTGATAGGAATTTCATCATAAACTTACGTCTTAGTTTAAACCACTTATTTATTTAAACATTTATTAAAAAAAAGAAGAAGAAGAAAAATGCTTCCAGTTATAAATCCTAAACTTTTACATGTAGTTACTAGAACACTGCTTAGTGGTGCTGATAATTCTATTCTCTTCCAGACGGTAAATAAGCTTACTTATTTTACAACAGTGTGTTAAATACTATAGCACTGACATGCAATTTACGTGTAGTTTTGCACCAGTAATAAAAGTTTATGCCAGGAGGGCTTTTCCTATAATAATTATGGTCAAGATTATTCCTTTAGCAGATCTGTTTTTTTGTGTATAATTTAATTTAATTTAATTTCAGCTGCTGACATTAAAAATTCTTGTAAATTTTTCATATCAGTAAGGCCTTTTTTGTCATAAGACAGTCATACCTGAATGTGCAGCAATTAACCTCTCCTAACCGCCGGAGGACCTTAACCAAAATACTGTAAAATTTTGAATATAAGCCCCCCAGACTCGTAATGCAAAAAACCCTTCATTAAATCGTCCCTCCAAATATAAACCCCTGGGGACTTGTACTTGGAAGTTGCCCTCAAATACAAAGTAAAACAAAGCAAAAACGGTAAATTTCCTTCCAACTATAAGGCTAGCCAATTGATTTTGAAATGCAAATTTTCCTCCATAGATAATCCCCTCGGAATATAAGCCCCTCTAAAACCCCCAATGTTCCAAATTCCATTTCATTCAGGAATAACGATATTATGGTAGGTGAAAAAACTACTTTATTGATTACCTCTAAATGGTTATTGGTTTATTTCATTTATTTTAGTCGAAGCTATGACAGTGTACAATCTTGAGATAATAATAAGCTTTGTTCTCTTATTATTACATGAGATTTTTAAATATCTTAAGGGTTTGCTTTAACCAATAACCATTTAACGGTGTATTCATTTGGGATGAGCCGATCCAGATCAGGATTCATGATCTAAGATCACTCACATCATGGTTTATCTCAGATACCGGTGAATCTTTGTTCAAATGGGTTGATTCCATTGGCAGCTGTAATGCACCATGATCCGCAAGATGATTAGATCATTGATCACCAATCCTGATCATCCAGAAGAATGCACCTTTAAAGTTTTAATGGCATGGAAGTCCTTTTGTGATAATAACTCAGGTTCAAGCATAAAACTGTGATCTTGCATTGGTTCAATGATCACAGGACACTTTTATGCAAAGCTAGTAGGACAAGCCCTTCAACCTGTGTTTTTAAAATGCTTTGAACCTCCATGTGCGACCACCTCTTGAAGTGGCCAGTCCTTCCTTAAGCGACCTCTTATCAAGACACCAAAATTTTCCTTTCAAGGCCCCATAGTTAGAACCTCTCATAATTGATAAACCACCAGAAGCACTTTTTGGGATGACGTTTGACAATTTTCCATCATTTTTAACCTCTTGTAAGCAACCACTTTATGCATTGTGCGATCTCTATGTTTGCTGTATGTGCTATGCCACTTAGAACATATGAAGAACTTTCAGTGATAGCATGGAACTACTGATATCATTACTTAGAAATTGTATGCAATTAAAAATTAAATTTTCTCATCCAAAAAGTAGATGTGTTGGGACCTCTTTTTGAAAGAGACCCTCTTGTGGGGTCAATTCTTGTAATTGATTACGTCCTGGAAGCGACCATTAAATCTTTGCATTTTGGGTGGTTGCTTACAGGAGGTTTGACTAGCTGTTATTATGATTGTTATGAGAATAAAGATGCTAAATTGTTATCATATTTTTATTTCCATACAGATATTGTTCTGTACACTTAATACATACAGAATTGACATGGAAAGGTTACTTGGTGGCCAGATTGGTCTTGATGACTTCATTTTTGCACATATAAAAGGACAGAGAAAAACTGTGACTGTCATGAAAGACAACCCAGCACTGGGTTTAACCATAACAGACAACGGGGCTGGTTGTGCATTCATCAAGCGAATCAAGGAGGGAAGCATCATTGATGGAGTGGCTCAGATTTGTGTTGGAGACCATATAGAGGCCATAAATGGCAGTGAAGTTGTTGGTATTAGGCATTACGATGTTGCACGGATGTTAAGAGACTTTCCTGTGGGACAGGAAATATCTTTTCAACTAATTGAACCAATGAGGGGCTTTGGTGAGCTAACTTCATAATGTTGCAGTTTTTAGCATATATCATTAATTTTTTAACCTGAATTGTTCAGACAGCCAGTTCTAACCCCAAGATTGAATGTTGCCATAGTTGCCATGCCTGTAGGATTGCTCGTTGCATGTACATTTATTTAAGCAATTGGTAGAAGAGGTGGCAACTCTACATTATTTGATCTTGTGCAAAGTTCAAAAGATTCTATCCAGGTTATTTCTTTATTTCTCACATGCTGTTATGATGTATATTTTTTCAGAGGGGATTGGCCCAAGAACTTCAAGCCGAGGAACATCTTCTGTGGACTCTGCAGCTACTTCCAATGCAGTTGGAAGTGGTAAGGCGACACTAAGACTGCGATCAAAGGGCCCACCACTGGTGGAGACTGAAGAAGTGAGTTATCATTTATACAGTTACAGTTAATCTTTGATGTGGCATTGAGGTACTTGTTTTACTTAAAAACATTACCCAGAAAATAATTCAAGGGGGTGCTTATAACATTGTTCAAAGACAATGTGTAACATTTGTATTGAAGCAACAACAAAACCTGAGTTTTGGAAGACAATATTCCTGTCAGCAAAGGTGTGTGCAGGACACTTGCGAGGCTGTCCTCTAAGAAAAATTGAAGGGAGCCCAGTGTTTTGAACCTGTGGAATAAAGGGTGTCCAGCATAGGATTTCTAGGAAGAAACTAAGATTTTCTAGTTGCCCGAAAGCAAAAGTTAGGCACCAGGGAATACTGGGCGCTGCTAGAGTACAGCCTTGCTTGCACTGAATTGAGTATCAAGACTATGGCACTAGGAAGGGTACCTTTAAGGGGTTAAGCTTGTTAAGTTCTTTTCTAAGTGCTTCCATCATTTCTTATCAGGAATCCCCAAGTTATTGCCTTGTAATTTGGAGAGGTTTCCTTTTTTTCAGGCCCCTGCATGGGAAGTCAAAGCTGCTCAGAAAATTGACGACTTGTTAGAGAGCTTCCTCGGCATTAGAGATCCTGATTTAGGTAGGTCAACGTTAATGAAAATAGTTAGCCAATGGCAGCTACCATTTACACCCAGTGGAGGGGGGGGAGCAGGGGTGGGGGTAGAAGTTACTCAACAAGGTTTTATATGAGGAGGCTTTGCCCTGAGGTCCAACCCGTTACCCTTTTATATACCATTTTTGACAGAATTTGAACTTGGGAGGGTGGGGAACAAATCCAGCAAGTGGCCAGAGCGGGACTCAAACCCATAGGACTGTGGGATTGTGAATCCAGTGCAATGACCACTCAACCACGCTGCCTCCTCAAAGTTGTACTGAATTCAGTGAGAGTGAAACCTAATGACCTCTGAATTGCAAGTACACTGCACTCTAGATTATTGAGCTACTTTACCTCTGGCCTTGTGCAGTTTGTGCATGTTTACTGAGGGCTTACATAAAAATATTAAATCTGCCAGGAATATATCCCTGACTCCAAAGATTCTCTGCAGAGGGTCACTCCAGCTTACACTTTTTTGCACAGAAATGTTCTGACGAATATGATTTCTTGCAAGCCAAAATTCTTAAAAATCTGTAAGAATGCTAGTGAAGTGATACAAAATTGAATGTGTTGGCAGTCATACGACAAAATAAAGTTTCTCCATTACTGTCTTTTTTGTGTGTCTGCCTTTAGTTTTGTTTTGTTTTGCTCACATTTAATACTAGTGACTGGAACCATGTTACCCTGCGGGCAGAGGCCCTTCGATCTTCCTAGTTAAGTCAGGAAGAGGAAGGGACCTCTGCCAGCCGCCTCGACTTTCCCTGTTGAGCATGCGACTTATCTAGGAAGATCGAAGGGCCTCTGTTCGCAAGGTAGTACCATTTAGAGTGTTGTAAACTTTATTATCACTTCATTTATGTGGTATGAAGTGACCTCACATTATTAAAATAATGTCTCCACCTTTTTGCAGACCAGTCAAACTGACTCTCTGTTGCACATGGTGAGAGAAATAAATGTAAAACCTCATCACTTATATGATGTTTCCTTTTTTTTTTCACCTCAGCTGAGACTCTGGTCACAAAGAGCAAGACCTTAACCAATCCAAGTGCTTTTGCAGTGGCTGTAGATGAGGAATTTGGCGACTTCCAGTTCCCAGATGATTTTATTTTCGATATTTGGGGTGCAGTGTCAGACAGTAAGAGTGGGCGATGATAATAGTTGTTAATGTACTCAGTTATAATAGCAATTATTATTATTATTAGTGAAGAGATGCCTGGAAAAATGGGCATAGTAAGTGACATCTAATTAACTTCCAGATTCTCGTATCAAAGTGTGCCACGTTTGCTTGGAAACATGAAGCAAATTTGCATACTATCAACTGTGGTAGGCGTAACTACAGAATACAGGGCCAGTTTTCTAGGTATATATTTGTTGGAGTGGCTCAGTGGCACAACGGTCACTGACAAGCCTCTGAGCTGCCAAGCCACAGAAAGATATTTAGACTCTAGCCTCAACTGACAAGCCACCAAGCCTCTAAAATACAGTGTATAAGATACTAACCTCGACTGACGATCCACTGAGTAGACTGCGAGCAGTCTCTCTTTTTCTTCAGATTTAGTAAGGGAAGTGCAAGCGCGCGAGCGTTGAGCGGCGAAGCCGCGAGAAACAAGGACGGCGTCTCGCGCCTTCAGTCACGCGCGTGGTCATTTGCGTGTCTCGGGCGTTTTGCTCGACGGACCAAGAAAAGAGAGAGACTGCTTGTAGTCTATCCACTGAGCCAGTGAAATATTTACCTTCACTTGCTCTTTAAAACTTATGTCTTTCTTATGCCAGTCTTACAGTTATATGTCTTAAATCTTTATCGTTCTATTAACACTCGTATTGACTAGCGAGCCACCGAACCACTTTTTTAAGACCTTTAGATATGGCCCTAGCTGTATTCTGTGGTTGCTCATTAACAATCATTTGGTTGTTGTTTCTCTCAACCCTGTCCTCGTTTAAAAAATCTTTATAGAATTTTTTGAGAAATATTAAATGTACTTTACATGTGTATGACACGTAAACGTGTTCTAGAACGTCCATGCATTTAGTCACCATGACAATCAAATTACTTATTAGTATTTGTGGTTATAGACTTTGTTACATGTACAGTCTGTACTTAGTAATTATTATTTCTCGTTGCTACCGCTCTGCATTAAGTATGGCAAAACTTGTTTTCCCTAGTTAAGAACAGTAAATGATATTACGCCCGGGGCCTCTATTTACTTTCAGGAGCCAAAGCAGGGGCGTTTGATAGAGAGGAGGAGTTTATTCTCGTAAAATGCCTTTTAAACAAACTCTACAAAACTTATATGCTTTAGATGAATATGCCACAATATTTTATAAACAGCAGATTACGCAGTCCAGAGTTGATACGTCCAGGCCGTTTAGAGATCTATAGCGTTTTAAAGCTCTATTTCGATATCGGTGTCCGAACTTTAAAGTTGTCTTTGAGCAAGATGCAGGACGCAAACCCCTAGAATGAAACTGAATAAATTGATTGATTTTGCTCTACTTCGCTCGTTCCAAGTATTTTGGAGCAGTTTTCATGCAGGGCCTCTATTAAACAGGGGGCATTTATTAAAGAGTGGCATCTAAACCAGACTTAAAAAGCGTGGGGTGGGCGGCAGGGGGCGTTTATTTAAGAGAGGGCGTTTATTAGAACGTTTACGGTGTTAAAGTTGGGACCCGTATTTAAGTAGGGACGCTTCGTGCTAATAAAACTTGTTTAACTTAGTTTCTCCTTTTGAGCACTTTTACGCCAATTACTATTTACTAGTAACATTAATAGTAAATGAGTCATCCGTTTTCTAAAACTTTTGGGTTCAAATTATGCAAGGAGAAAAATATAGGTATTTCAAATATATTTGAAACTTTTGCTTGTATTTATGTGTTACTGATGGGTAACAAAGACGGCTATAAGTTGGTGTACGGTAGAATGGTAAGTGGTACTATAATTTACAATGCTTATATTCGAAGAGCGTTTAAGTAAGCTAATTCCACGGCGCGGTTAATTCAAAACGCCCGTTTACGCTAACCATTGTTTATGCGATTTAGATGCTTACTTGCGACGATCAGTTTCCCCTAAATTAGCTTGTTCATAGATCCTCCACTTTTCTTATAGAGATCGTCGAGCGCGCGTATGAAAAAAAACCCCGCGGGGCCAGGGATTTATTAACCTCTAGCGTAAAAGTGGTTTAGGTGGGCAATATGTTTTTTCTAGCCCTTCGCCTTCGCCAAATCGGTCTAAAAAACATTTTTTTGGACAGGCTGCCGCATTAGCTGTTGCTTGTGTGCCTAAATGTTGATGTGCTTCAGTTCTTGACGACTTTCTGCGTGAGTTTTAAAAGTGTTTAAGTTCTCACACGAGCTGCTAGGTAACCCATGGTAACTGCGGCATGAAGATCGAGGCCTCGTCCACTCGTATCCGGATACTTTTAAAAACGTATGTTTTTTTCTCCGTTTTAGAAAAAATACGCGTCCACACGTAGTTATTCGAATCCTTTTGCCCGTCCACACGAAAACGCTGAAACGATGGAAAGACGCTAACATCCCTTATAGGACATGCGCTGTAAGATGACTATAATGTATGGCGTCAGCGTTTTTGAAAACCGCTGTTTTCGTCTGTCCACACGAAAATGATAAGCCAGCATTTCCGTTTCCGAAAACCTGCATTTTTGGTGCCCGAAAACGCCGTTTGAGTGTGGACGGTAGGCTATAACGGAAGAAAAAGAAGTCTCTGTTTTCAAAAGTATCCGGATACGCGGATACGTGTGGACAAGGCCAGAGTAATCGCCGCCTAAATTCTAGTAAAAATCGCTGGTCACTAATCAGGGGGGGATAGAACCATTTATCATGGTTGTCACAGGTCAGGAAATTGTCAGGGAAAAGTCAGGGAATTTTACTTCGAGTAGGGAAAAAATAATTCTTTGAAGGACGTCAGGGAAAAGTGAAATTTTAAGAGTACATATTTATTCTTTTCCCTCTACTTTTGCTGTTTTCTAACATTTTACGGCCATGAATTGTGTTGCATTGGCAAAATATTTTTCATGAAATTGTGCGACAAGCTGATGTTGGCTTTTCAAGAACATCATTGTTTTTTTGCACGTTATGTTAACGAACTATTAATTCATGTACACTGCACGTGACTTGCCGAAAGCATTAGTAAATGGGTGGAGTGGATGGCTGTGAGGGGAGGGTTCAGTCCATCACCAGGACTAATGTGTGAAATTGTTAATTCAGTTAGGGAAATTCAGGGAATTTCAGAAAGTTCTAGCTGTGGCAACTATGATTTATTGTTTTAGGCTATAGGGAATGGTATAAATTCTTGCAAGGAAAAAAGTATTAACTGCTATAACTGAATAATGATTTTATTTATAGGGCTAGAATTGTAGCAGCTTGCTATATGCATGTATGTCTGCCGATGGTGATGAGAATATATAAAAACGGCAGACTGTTGCTGCGTTGTATTTACAGTTCTATTTGTAGAATTTGTTCCTCAGACTACGGAATGAGATGTAACGAGGTTATTTGATGCACGGTTTAAAGGAAGGTGAACATCTTGAAAGGAAATAAACTTCTGCAGTTCAATTGTGGACTGAGACGTCTTTATTCTATGAGTGCTCATTCCTTACCTTGGTAATCAAACTTCAAAAAATAAATTCTAGTCGCAAAGTCTCAGATTTTTTAGTGTTCTTGCTTTCGACTGTACCTCACAGTCTTCATCGGCAATAAACGCTCTGTGTTGTCACGTGACTAATTCATGTGACTATGCGATACAGTCGAAGGTTCCAAGATTAAAAACTGTGAGACTAGAATTTATTTTTTTAAGTCTTTATTTAAGTGTCAATGGGACACCATTTTATAGCCACCAACTGGACAGCAGACAGCAATATCTGTGGTATTTCTAGCTAAGCGCAGGTGTAGCCGTTGTATGTATGGGCCTTGCAAAGACATTTACTGGCGAACCCACTAAATATAAACACTAGACTGCTTGCAGTCCGGCCGTGGAGATCTTAGTCAGTGATCTCCTAGGGGAAAAAAACGCTTTTGGCCAAAAAAAGGGACTGGCACGAGACGATATTTTTCTTCCCCCTTCCGGCTTACGTCCTCGTTTCTCGCAGCTCGCGGCTTCACCGCTCACATGTGCTACCCCAGTGACTGAAGAAAATAGGAGACTGCTCACAGTCTATACAAACACCAGTGAGACAGACGAAATTGGCGTCTGTTTTGCAGTCTAATCTGTTTCGCACCCAGGCACCCTCATTGCTCCAAACCGACGCCGGCTGCGCGCAGGTTTGTAGGAAGGATGCAGCTTTCCCACGACGTCTTGCGGTCTCTGTTTACCGTTTTAAATCGATCTTTTGGTTGAAAATGTATATCCCTTCGTATTGTTTCTCCTGCCGTAATGTAACACATCGCTAGTACTGATAATGTGAGGTGGCTTATGCAGCTATGATAGCGTAAGAAGATGAAAGGGGTATTATTTTGGTTAAGAGAGGTAAATAAAAGGCGTTTTTTTTCTAGATGGTGCTCCTACAAAACCTTCCATACATCGCTCTATTTTATTTACCCACGTAAAAATTACGCGACAGTGGAAATCTATCCTAACATTGCCTCTATTTTAATGTGCGTAACCACGTAAAAATTACGCGATCGTGGAAATCCACCTTAAGATTGAGTTCACACCGGGAAAGGAACTCCCCATCGCTGTAAATCTTGTTCTAAGAGATCTTGGTTTGATTATTTGTCTGCACACCCTGTGCAACCATGCATGTACCACCCTGATGTATGGCGGTACCCGTTCACTGATCCGTCACAATGGATAAATGTTGTTTTGAGTTTTTATGAAAGATCAGAGGAATGGTTCATTGCCTTTTTGACTTGGTTACTGCACATGGATAACCCTTGAAAAAACGAAGGGTCAATTTTGTCTGTGTTATAACCGGCGCGCTCTCAGAAAAGGTTGGTTTGTCTGTAACTTTTATCGTTATTATCTTTATAAAATGTCCCACCAGAAATTTGTCTAACACCCGGAAGTCTCCCAAGTCCTTTCACGACAAAAGAACGAAAGGTCATTAAAATTTAGCCTCGGCTGCGAGTATCAATAATTCACGGGTACAGAATATAAAAGTATCGTATCTTTTCTTTGTGATCAGGGAGTATTCAGGCGG